AAAAAAAAAATCAAAAATCCACTTAAAAACAAAATCAAAACCAGCAATAGTTTACTCACAGACATTTCCCTCTGCCTAGCACTAGTTACATCTACAATCCTGGTCAAAACGTTTGGGACACTTTGTGTTTAGGTGTGGAAAATGTAATTCAAGTTGACCCCCTCCCCCCTGAACAGTGTTGGGTGTTACAACTCAAAACACCTTTTACTTGTCTTGCAAACGTTAAGGACCTCAACTTTGTTCAGGGGCCGGTCGGTGGGGGAAAAATCTTGTTAAGGCTGTGTTTAAGAGTTTGTATTGCAGGTTAACTGCAAATTCCATACAAAAACACGTGAAAAAGGGGAGGTATCGCAAAACGTTTTGGCCAGGATTGTAGTTACATGTGTTTGCTTCATATCTAAACCACAGTTCTTCAATATAATTTTTACCAGCTCATGGTTTGGTTTAACCCTTCAAGTCCTAAAGAGTTCAATTTTCCCCTAAAAATGTCAATACCTAATCCAAAAATAAGGTTATGAGAATTAATAAAATGATCACTAGCTAGAAAATTATAAATATTTGATTTTTCAACAAATTCTCTCAACTAATTTTTTAGGGAAATGTATAGAGATAGTCAAGAGATTTTGTACATTTTGTGTGGATACTGGACAATAAAGGGTTAATGAGTGACCAAAGTAAGTAACTAAGCTACAAGTATGCAGTGTTGCTAAGGAGAGGCATTACTCCCAAAGCTCTCCAAATACCAATCTGGAAGTACACTGCGAGACCCATCTAAAACCTCTGAAACAGTTACTTCCTCAAAAGGGCTCCTCCAGGAGAACAAGTAGACAACACCAGGACCACTTTTTACAACTACTGTCTTCACCCACTCAAGAAATCTGTCCAGAAAGTTAAGACAGATAGAGGATTCCCACAAGCCCTCATCATCCCTCACTAATCGAGGGATGGCTAAGGTGTTGTATGTTTGAAGTTCCCTGACTTGGCCATGATGATCTCTGAAACCGCAGATAATCTTTGGCACTCCAGCAAGGTATGATTGTGCCCACCACTTAATTAACTTGTAGCGTTTGAAGTTGTAGTGTTGGTTGTGGTGATGAGGCTGTATGGAGGTTTTGAGCTCTATGTAATTTGCTGGTGCATCACCTTCTGCCTACAGTATATTGTGATACAAAAAAATTAAAACTGTTAAAATAAGTTCACATGAGTCTGTTTAAGATAGTAAATACATACAGACTTGTCCATTTATGGCCTTGATCTGCAAGTGAATTTGTAAACTGTCTCTTGCATCTTTAAATATGGTTTGTTAAAAGATAACTAGCAGCCATATATGCTGGTATGCATTTACAAACTTAAACAGACCCTTATACAGTATTTGTAGAAAAATCTATAGAGAAAATAACATTCCCT